AAAAAATAAAAAAAAAATCACTAAACATACAAAAAGAACCTAGCATATCAAGTATCCTACTTCTTATTTAGTATTAAACCACAACAAAAATGTTAAACTGGTTCTTTATATGTTTGAAATGTGTATACATCTATTTTAATGAAATGAACAGCAAACCCTTTAGTGTATTACACTTTCTAACACTGGTTAGTACTACATGCTTCAAAACAAGGCCATTTATTCTCAGTGTAGCAAGGCTTGGCTTGGATGTTGAGGCTTACATCTTTCATCCTACAGCATCTCATGTAATAGACAATGAGCTGTGGCTGCTTCCCCCTTCTTCCACAAATCCAACCTAATTATTTTCCCCTCTGGTTCACTGCATATCCAAACTGCTTCTGAAGAAATAATTTCATTAAAAGACTAAGAAATGCATAAAAACATTCACTGATGTTATCATCTCAGAGACAGATTGCTGTGCTACGGTCAGAAGAAACAAACTACAAAGTCCTTATGGGCTTTATTTAATCTGGATTAAATCCAAACTTTTATTTTCTCCATGTTTAAGAAGTATAGTTTCAGAGACAGCAGAGGGAGTTATTATTCAACTGGTTAGATCAATGAGTCATTTCAATATGATATGAGAGAAAAGTTAGGATTCATACTTTCATGAATCAACCAAAAATCTGGTTTTCAACAGACAGAAAAGTAAACACCACAAATAAAACTCCTAGTAGTAGAAAAAAAAAATCTAGAACTTGTCAAAAGTAAACTGTCTTCATAAAATGCATTCTTATTTAAAATACAGTGAAATGATGTTTTCCCTTTTACATTTTTTTTTGGGCAGTAGGGGAGACAGCTGTGAAGAATGTACTTTTTCCACATAGTATGTTCACAATAAAATTCACAATAAAACAATTCAACTCAGACCTCAACGCTGTTCATAAAATCGGTTATGCAAGGAATTGATTTGTTTGAGGTTTAAGGCTTTTTAGATATTTACATGTACAAAGAGTTAAATGCCAAGGGATATTTCTCCAGCAACAACCTTATTCTCTCATCTATACATCAAAGCTTGGAGCATGCAAAAGAGTAGAAAGAGCAGGCACAGAGAGAGGACTATTGAGCAAGCAGACCAAGCTCTGATTTGGGAAATTAGGAAGGAAGATAATGAACTAGGTGCAACACAAGGTTTGATAAGAAAAACGTACAGATAGACCTGCACTGCTCAGCTACAGAGAATAGCTTAAATATTACAGGTAGGATGTCATCTACTTTGAATACCTAAGATACACTATCTAAATATAAGATTCTCCATAATCACTGGGGGGGGGGGGGGGGGGGGGGGG